ATGCTAAAACCTTTACACTGAGCAATCCTATCAGCAATCGTACTAGCCATTTTTGGCATGGTAAGCATCACATGCTCAGATCTAGTAGCCTCATTTTTCTTCCCTTTAGAAGAAGTCAAGTCAATCGCAGGTCTCTCAGCAATAGGGGGACCCTCATAAGCAGCGGAGGAAATCTTCAATTTTTTCTTAACCGACATCTCTTGAGCAGACAGGGAAGATCTCCCACCTTCATTCATAGTAGGCTTCACGACAACAATCAGACGAGCCAATGCATTCGCCTTAATCCTCTTTATCTTCTCTCTCGGGAGCAGCCCACCTTTCTCCCGGCAAAGATGACTGAGCAGCCAACGCCATTCACGGTACTCAACAAGGGAGCTCAACCCATACTGGCTTTTCCCTCATTTTTTTCTCTTGGACCAGTAGGTAGGAAGCCTGCATGCCTAGCATTCTAGCAACCAATGAAGCATGTGACCTTCTTATTTCTCTTAATCGTTGGCCTGGCCCGCATCAGGTCCAAGAGCCTAAAAGACATGAGCCATGCGGCTTGCCTAGCAATGCGGCCCAATGCCTCAATTGCCGCCCCAGCCGCATAACTACCCTTGGCTCTAGCCAAGCCAAGCAGCCCAAGCAATAGTATATGCCACAACACTTATCGCCCCATACCTAGCCGACTCTTGGCCCCTGCCAGCCGACGTGCCACACCACATCTACAGCTGCCCCGCAACAGCACTATCCAAGAAGAAGACAAGGAAAATTAAATTTTTCTTACCTCGGTGCGACGTGGAGAAGATGAAGAAAGCAACGAAAGATGGTCCTTTGCACGGGCAAGTGTAGAAGATTGCTAGGGGAGGGGGAACAAATATCCTCTAACTTTCTCTCTCTTGTATGGTAGAATAAATTGCGCTCTAAAGTTGATTTAATCATCTACTTAATGTAGACTTAATAGACTTTAGAAGTGATTTATTTCCCTTTCCTAGAAAGATCTAATTTCCAATTAAAGATGGAATCTACATTAAAATAAAAAACAATCTTATGTTTCCTAAAGCAAGAGAAGATCTCTACACCTGCTACCCTTTCCTACGAGCAGCCCAATAGGTATGGGGACATTTGTAGAGCAAAAAATAATCAAGAAAATTATGGAGGCGGCACGTGGACTTTTGGGTGAAAAGGATAAAATTACCTTCAAGACACACCAAGATTCCCACGTGCATGCAATGGATAATAACGACTCAATCAAAGAAGAGTCAAAGGTGATCAAAATGGTATTTATTCAAAACCCTCTCATCACTCCTCATCAAATCTTCACCCACAAGGTAACTCCCAATTATTCTTTTGAAATTGGTATTAATTACCAAATTAATTGCCAGATATTATTTGACATAATATCTTGCAATTAGAGCCAAAATTCCACCATAAGTGGCCGGTCCCTATTTCTCCAAATAGGGCCGGCCACACCCCTATATATAGCCCTACATTTCTCCAAAAAACTAACTTCATTCTCTCCCCAAAATTCCTTAAACACTTTATCTCTCAAATTTTAACTTTGGCATCGGAGATTCTTCGTCCAAAGCCCCCCCCCATTCATCGTGGGTGCGTGAGGCTCTTGGCCTTAATCTTAGATGTTATTATTTTGCAGGTGCATTTTCGTCAAAAGAGAAGAATGCGGAAATTTGCATCCACACACAGCCTGACTAGTGCTAGTGTCTGTTATAACCTTAGTTTGGTGAGAATGTATTTTTATATGCACCCGTAACTTAGATTCGCCTGTATTTTTATACGCACCCCAACTTAGATTCGCATTGCCTATGCCGATCAAAACTACACCAATCGCTCATACACTTCGTCTGCAGCCTTGATGAGCCTACTTATTAAGTTCTACAAACTCAAGAGGGAGTGTTGTATATACTATTGATTAAATATGTGATTGTGTAAACTAGAAATAGAATTCAATAGAATTTTAGAAGATCAAATCTTTGTATAAGTAAAGTCAAGAAGAGATACATACATCATAAAAGTTGAGCCTCTTCTCCCTGTTATCCCTCTCCTACTTTCACCCTCTAAATTTGTTCTTTAGCAAAATCATTTTTATATCAAATCTGGTAAAAATACAAAGTTTGTACCAGCCATGGCCGCGGATACAGACCTTACCTAAAACAAAAATCCTCCGATATCCGATGACATCGGCACAGAATCATATGCTTGGATGACAATCCAATGCATGTTCATATTTTATAGGCATAAAAAAAAATAAAAAGTATTCGTTTTTTATATTCCAACAAGAAAAGAAAGTAGATATTTCACATATCATACCACCAATAATTGATAAAGGCAAATCAACTACCAGCAAATAAAGAATCAAACAAGAAAATAATTTAAGTTAATACAACGGGGAAGAGGATGGGCGTAGGGACCTCGTTTCAACTTTTATTCAGTTTTCACAGAAAACAGTCCAATGAACGGAGGAGGATTTTCTCCCCTCTTAATTTCTTTCCCATTCCCTTCTTTTCTATTTGAAAGGTTACGATTTAATTACGTCAACATCTTATATTGATTTTTTTTATAGAGACAATAAGACAAAAAAAATATGTAAGAGGAAGGGAGGGAATGAGATGGGAATAGAAGGGGAGAAAATCATATTCCCCAATGAACATCGTAAATGATTGAATGAGTCGTATTGGGGGGGGGGAGAGAATGACTACATGAAACTGATTCACTTTTATTATATTTTTATTTGATAATTAAATGTATGTAGATAAGTAAATTTTGATGAAATACACACTCATTAAAACATTAGATTTTAACATGACAAGGCTTACATGATGATATACACCGTGTGTCTCACAAATCGCACACATCGCACATGACTCATCAAAACTAGACAAGTCATTAAGAATGACATGCATAGATATTTGGAGGAAAGTAAATCAAGAAAATTTTAATTTATATCAAACAAATTAATTGAGTTAAAATGTCAAAAAAAGGATTGCCAATTAAGTATGAAATGTTGTTGATTTATTTGATTTAATCAAAGATTAATTGATGAAGTCAAGTCGCGAATCAAGTTTCAAATCAAGTCTTGGGTCTTTCGTCAATTAATTAAATTCAAAATCAAGCCTCGATCAACTTAGGAAGCTTATAAATACGGGGCTCAAAGATAAAGAAAGACCCTCCTAGAAATTCATTCACACACCCGAACACTCAGGGCTGGTTTGGTATTGCTGTGCTTTGAAAAAAATCTGCTGTGAGAATAAGCGGCTGTGCTGTGAGAATAAGCGGCTATGAAATAAAGCAGCAGAGCGTTTGGTAAACTTTTTTGTAAAAGTGCTTTTGAAAAAAAAAAGCAGTCTGATAGTGGGTCTTTTCATTAAAGGAGCACTGTAGCTCCATGTGCTTTGAAAAAAAGCCAGTTTTCCAAAGCTGCAAATAGCAGCTTCAGCTTTTTCCTTTGATTTCAGCTTATTCTCACAGCAGCTTCCAAAATAAGCCTTTTTTTTTCAGTTTACCAAACACCTAAAACTCTCACAGCTTTTTTTCATAGGTGCTTTTTTTAAGCACCTCACTCCCAAACTAGGTCTCAAACACTCAAGCACCACTACACGTGCTGATTCTTCCATCACCACAAGCCAACTTGCGGTATTCATTTATCTAAGATCAAGTTATTACAACCCTCATATCAACAACCACCTACAAATGCACTTATACAACCCAGAGATCGAAATAGAGGATTCAAACTTTGTAATTAGGGATTGTAACCCTACATTTACATTAAAATAAAATTTATTTTGTATACGTGTTCTTGTTTGATTTGTTACAGAAATTTCATGTTTACAGTGTCATGCTTAATGGTAATCCTATGTCGTATAAGTTGTTCATAATTTATGTGCGTTTTTATTTGGGTAGACTGTGTGTCGGTCTAGTTGTATAAAGATGATCTTACTGTCTTTTTATATTTAGCATTCATTGCCCTCACATGATCTTAGGCCAAGTGACACATAAACAAACCCAACAAATAACAAGTACAATTTTTCCTTCACTTTTATTATTCTAAAATATTAAATTAAGACTTATTAGTTTCTTATGAACTATTTTATGGTCAAATCAAAAGTCTTCCTCATGTTCACTGTGAAGCTTTCTCTTAATTTTTGTTTTGATAGAAGCTTCCTCTTCATTCAATGGTGCAAACCATTTATTTTCAAGTCAATTAATGTTTATTTTTATAATAAAAGTTCTATTTTAAAAGCGTTTTTAATAACTAAAAGCGCTATTTAAATGAAATGTGTTTGAAATTATTATTTAATAAAGTACAAGTTGATTTTGGAAAAGTGTTTTTAGCAGGAAACATGTCAAATGTTTTTGGAAATAAAAAAATATTTTTGGTTAAAGCGTTTTCAATCTTTCTCTTCACATGTAAGTGAGAGGTCTTAAATTCGATTCTCGTATAAGGAAAATTTAAACCACGTTAGCTCACTTTCTCACCCCCTTACTAAGGATAATATCGTTTGTTCAAAAAAAAAAAAAAGACATTTTCAATCATTTAAGAGCACTTCCTAAACAAGTCCAAAGTTATTTTGATTGGATATCATTAAGGCACACATATGTGACCAAAGAAATAGTAGTGGATACATGCAACTACGAAAAGAAAAAAAAAAGACTTTAAGAATATATTTTTTTTTTTTGATAAATGATAAGATAATTTTACAGTTAGTCATTTAAATCACGGAATAAAAGATTCAAACACAAAACTTTAAGCACAAAAAAAATATTTTTAAATAACTGAGCTACAAACTATTAGCTGAGGATAGAGAGTTGTTTTATGAAAAACAACATTAGAAAAGTATCCCAAAAAATCATAATTTAATTTGCCAAAATAACGAAGATTCCTTATCTGGAAAAGGGGTGGTCTAATTAGTTTATTTTTGGTATTTGTTATTATTATTTGTTATTTATTTTGATCGAACATTATATATATTTGTCTCCGTGTTTAAATTTGGCATTTCATCATCGGCGGGTAAGCGCTGCTCTGCACTTCAGCCTTAATGACACAAAAGAACAAACCACTATCTCTCTCTCTCTCTCTCTCTTCCCTTTTATTCTATTCTTTCCCTACTCTGTCTCTCACATTTCTCTTGAATTTTTTACATTACAGTTTAGGTATTGATTCTCAGACAACCTCCCTGCCTCTCTTCTCTTTCTGTGACTTGTGGTGGAGGAGTTCTCATTTGATATATCTTTCCAAGAACCACCACCGACCTGGTTTTTCTCTCTCTTCCTCTCTCTCTCTCTCTCTCTCTCATCAGGGTCAGTGTTTCTCTAATTCTTCACTGCATTTGCTCTTCTTATTTTTTTTTCCAAAATTTTCTGACCAATTATTTTTATCTGAAAGAGAACTGAGCATGGATTTCATGGTTGACTTGTTCCTTGTTTCTGATTAAATGGGTTTTTAGGTTTCTTTAATTGCTTCAATGAAGATTCAAACCTTAGTATCTTTGTTAATTAGGTTGGATTAAAACGCAGTGTAATGTGGGCAAAAGTAGAATTTGATTGAGGATTAAAGATTGATGCTGGTATTTAAGTGCTGCTGGGAATCAAGGGTTTGAAGCTCTTACTGGGGTGCTGTAATTATTGTTGATTTATCAGAATATTAGAAATTTAATATTCTCATTTAAGCAGTCTTAGGTCCCTGGGTATTTGACCAGAAAGAAAGAATAGGACCAGTCACTTTCACACAGTGTCCCTAACCTTCTGTTTGGTTACTGAGAAAGAAGAAAATAAAAGGAAGTAGGATTCGATTTTACTTGTGAAATGATGAAAATATTACCATAATTAATTACTCCATACTTCTGTTGGGTTCTGTTGCATTGACTTTCTCAATCTTTGGTAAATACTGAAAGTTCAAGTCCAATTGCTTTATTTGTTTGTGGGTTCTCTGGGCTTCCAGATGAGTGTAAAGCCACATCCATCACTATTTTTCAGCTTGATAAAGTAGTTGATCTCAAATAATATTTGATCTTAATTTATTTTGTTCGATGTTAAGTAGGTTAATTAGCACACCAGCATGAGTTAAGGGAGTTTTAATGCAAAAACTTGGTAGCTTGGGAGTAAATCAATGCTCAATTTGGAAGTACATTGAAATAGATACAGTTTGTTTAGATCCAAAATCTCTAATCTTCCCTCGTTTATGTTCTTGTGATGCAACACATGCAAAATAATCATTTAGATGTCATTTAGAAGACTGGATTCATCTCAAATCCTATGAAATTAAATAGGTCTGTTTCCCTGAAGTGTCAAAAGTGTTTACCATTCGTTCAAATTTTTATATCAAACCGAAAAAAATTGCAGAAAGAGGGTCTAAATTTTTCAATTGAGTATGTTTTTTTTTACTCAATCAATTTTCAATCGGTATTTACACTCTTGTTTTTGCAAGGATTGAGCGGCTTATTTATCATTTGTTGGTTCATAGACATTGTGTTTTAGTAGATTTAGTTTTCTTAGTTACCTTTATATTGGAACTTTATATTCGACAAAGTCACACACTGGATCACTTTATATATGTATTCTCTGTTATTTAGCGTCTCTGGTTCCTTAGTTTTTTTTCTCTGGAATGTAATTTGATTAGAACAAGGTGCTTTGCAGGAAAGAAAATTATAGCACATGATGCTAAAGAATATGATGGAAGAGAAGCAGTTAGATCTTAATCAGCCACTTCTGTCTGTAAGACGATATTCACCTACAGTAGTCTCCTCAGAAGCTGATGACAAAAGGAAGGCTGATAAGTCACTGCCCAAGCTACCTCCTCTTCCATTTTACAAATCAGAATTGAAATCAGGTCCGGTGAGGCATCCAGGTACTGTTCCTTTTGTATGGGAGCAAATCCCCGGAAGACCCAAGGATGAAAGAAATTCACAAACTCAGGGTCTTGAACGGCCTGCCACTACACCGAGGCTTCCGCCTGGAAGGGTTTCAATTGCTAAGAAGCAAGCATTGGATAAAGGTTCTAAACGCACTACAGCTGCTCAATCCCCAACTGGACATGTACTTTCCAATTCTAAAAATGATTCAACCTTTGATACAAAAGAAGTTACTAAGTGTGACAGCTCTAAAGAGGGGATGGAGGATAAGGATATTTCCGATTCAGAGGATGGTGATGAGACCTATTTAGATGCACTTGACGCACTTTCGAGGAGTGAATCATTCTATTATAACTGTAGTGTAAGTGGTTTGAGTGGACTGGATGGTCCAGATGTCAAACCAACTGGAACCTTCTCGACAGATCCACAGACTCGCGATTTCATGATGGGTCGGTTCCTGCCTGCAGCAAAGGCTATGGCTTCAGAAACACCTCAATATAGTACCAGGAAGCAACCAGTTGCTCGAGAGCAACCAATTTGTCAAGAGCAACCAAGAGGGATGAAGGTCGCCAGTGGGAATAAGCAACATCCACTTAATCAATATAAGCCAAATGATTTGCCACATAATGTTCAAGATATAACTGGGGACAAAAGTGAGAATGAAGGTGATTATATAAAGATCTGAAAATTTATTCGGTAACGTTTGCGAGTCATTTCCTTGATTTCACTTAAAAAATTATTTTGTCTTCTGAACCTTGTTCCAGGTATGAGAGCACAAGCGCAATTACCCATTTCTTCAGTTAGGAGTGTGCGAGCTAAATCTTCCTATGCCAGTGCTTACAGAGAAGCTAAAAATGAGGTATTTTGCCTTATTTACGTGTGTTTCCCCCAGTTTCTATGTGTTATTATTACGTCAAGAATCTTTATTGAACAGTTTCCATATTTTCTTTAGCATTCTGGGGGCGATGCTTGTGAACAAAGATTAATGAATGGACATCAGGAAGCTGTGATACCTAAAGATAAGAATGATTTGAAATGTGAATCCAACCAGATCACCAAAATAAGTGAATGTGAGAAATTAGATGGGTCACCTGTACACAGGCGTCACCAGGGTAGTAACATATCACCCTACCGAAAGGAATGTTTTCATCATGAAGAAAAAGGTTTTCTTGGTATTCCTGAAAAAGCAAAGAACTTCAGAGAAACTAGTAGCTCTGGAAAGTATCGAAAAGGCCACAACAATTTTAGGGAAATATTGGCTACTGAGAATATTGCTGAATGGAAAATGGGCCCAGGGAGTCCTGTAGTTGAGAAGACTCTGTATATTGATTCTGTGCATACTGTAAAATCTCCGAATTCAAATTCACATTCCTCAGATACAAAGGGCAATATCATTCAGTACAGAGGGAATGATAATGAAATTCCTGAGAAAAGTAATGAAGTGAAAGAAACCCCTTCGGCAGAGTTTTCACTCCAAGATATTGAGCACTTGGGTGATGGAAATGAGAAGGCTATAGTGCCGTTTCAAAGTTTGGAGTTTCCTGACTCCAGCTTTCTATATTGGTCTGGCAGATCCAGTAAGGATGATCAAACAGATATGAGAAACGGTTCCATATTCGATCAGGATTCCAGCAGATTTGCAAGCTTAAAAGTGGTTGACCAAGAAACAGTCAACTTGAAAAGCCAACATTTAGAGAAATCAGTTCACTGGAAAAATTGTAATGGCCTTACTCGGGACCTTATTACATCGACAATTGAAAAACTGAATGATGAGAAAAAGAGTGATTTAAAAGGCCAACAGCCTAGAAAATCAGGAACAGAAGAAAGTTCGCATAGCCATGGTCAGATTTCTATTACATTGACCAGCTCAAAAGTGGCCTACAGGGGAAAGATTGATTTAGAAAGTCGACGACTTGTGAAATTTGGTAATCAGGAAAGTGCCCGGGGCCACAATTCACGACTGCCTCTTGGACCACCTTTACCGAAATCTCCATCAGAGTCTTGGTTAAAGCGCACCTTACCTAGTATTTCCTCGAGGAGCTCGTCTTCACAGTATTCTTCTGGTTCACAGATTTATGCTAGTGGTCAGCCTTCAAAGACGTCCTCTCTTGATCCCAAATGGGAGACAATTGTTAAAACTTCTAACACACACCATGGACATTGGCGGTTTTCAGAGGTAATTCCTTAACTCTTCACCTTAACTGCTTAAGTTTACCTGTTTGGTGATGGGATTTGTTTATGAAACTCAGTTTATATTGTCAGGACCTTCTGACACCTATACCGGAAGCTTAGAAGTCGGATGTTTATCTGAAGCTCACCGGCCTACCTGAATATCCATGCTTTCTATGGTTGTAAAGGTGCTGAATATAGTTTTTTATTTTCACTCTTTCTATATGTTTCTCTCGAATGTGTTGCCTTCATAAGTTTATACCCAGAAGTCAGTACATAATGAAAACTGTATATCAACAAGCCCATTTCGTATCATTTTTTGAACTTAACTTTCTTTTAGTGGGATTCTTGTGTAAAGCGAACCAAAAGATGTATTTGTTTCTTCATTTCCTTAATAAAAGAAAACTCATGTAGTTTGAGCCGCTCTCATATCTGCGGATAAATCCTTGCATAGTTCAAATTTAATATTTTTGTTGAGTTGATGCGGTTTTAGAATGAACATATGAGTTTGATTTACATGAAATTCCAGGCTTAATTTCTTCCGATCGATTATTGAGCACATTTTGACGGCTAGTTTGAGGGGGAAGTATTTGTTTATGTTTTGCTTCAAAAGCCTAGGATTCTTATGCAGCGTTGCTAAGAAACTGTTGCAAAAGTGAATCATTATCACATCAGTGGGGTTGCTATATGTGATGTCTCGTGTATTCAAAAGGGAATAGTGATTAGGGGTGGATTCGGTACGGTTATTATACTAAAACTCTTGTACCGATTATTATACCAAATTTTCAGTATGACAAAATTTATTACTATTACCATACTAAACTTTTGGTATACCGAAATTTGGTATGCTTCAAATAGTTCGATTGGCATGGTATGATACTGGTAATTGCACTTTGTTTTTTTTTTTTTTTTTTTTTTGGTAAAAGGATAGATTCAAAGAACAGAGAGGCACAAGGCCAAACAACACGCAGAGAAACAACCTCCGCAACCCCAAAAGATACAGACACAGATAAATAGGATCAAGAAAGACACCACCTCAACAGGTACTAGCGTCGCCCTATTACCAGTGCAACCCATCCCCAATTACAAAGGAGGACAGGGAAGACCATCTTTGTTCAAAATGCCAACTAGCGAAGATGGAGGTTGAACAGCCCAGCCAAAGCTGCACATCTCCGGTGAAATATTCCTTGCGACAAAATCCACCGCCATATTTGCCGATCGTGGAATCCACGACCAGGAACATGAATGAAAACTCCTCCCAACATCCAAGATACGGCTAAGAATTGGGAGAAGGTCCCAATCACAGCTCAAAGAAGGGGAATTGAGGGACCGAATAACCCCTTGTGCATTCGACTCAATTACCACCTCCTGCACTTGCAAACACTTAGCCAACAAGCACCCTTACAGAATAGCAAGAGCTTCAGCCATCCTAACCGAAGATGCATGCAACCAAACACTTTTAACCGCCCTGCAACCCGACAACCAATCACGGGCCACAGTCCCAATCTTACCACAACAGGAGTCCCTCCTCCAACACGCATCAACATTCACCTTAATCTTATTGACTGGGGGAGGAGACCAAAGAGTGAGAAGGCGTGTACCTCGAGGACGGCTAGTTTGGATTGTGGATGATAATAGCAGGGGGGCGGAGGCTTGCATAAAAGACTCCAAAGCAGTAATGATAGTTCGAATAGATCGAAAAGGTGAGGGCTTAACACCGTTGAAAACAGCATCACATCGGGCTCTCCAAGTAAACCAACATGTAAAAATCAGGTACCTCGTAGACCAAGCAAGATCCTCTTGACAACCCATATTTTGATTTATCGCCCCATACACCCACTCAGCCAAAGTAGTAATTGAGCTTTGATTGATCTGAACATTCAACGGACCCCCAAACCATACTCTAGACACCCAAGGACACAGAAGGAGAATATGCTCCATGGTCTCCACACATTCATTACAAACTGGGCAAAGGGGGGAAGTGGCACACCTACGTCGAAACAAATTGGAGTTAGTAGCACAAGCCTCTTTAAGAGCTCGCCAAATAAAGTTCTTCATCTTAGGGGGAGCCTTACAACTCCATAGCCAAACCCAAATCCGAGGATGATCACTGCGTGAGGAGGACGGGCGATCAAGGTTTATGCATGAGTGTCTACTGTGATTTCTCCAATATCCGGACTTCACTGAAAAATAACCATTTCTCTCATAAGGCTAGACAAGCTTATCAGGACTTAAAAGCGGCCCCACATAGATTTTAAAGATGGAATCGCTTTTTGAATCCGAGATAAAGTTTGAGAGAAGGTCCAAGTTCCAAGTCCTCGAACTCGGATCAATGAACTCCGCAACTTTGCACTCCCTATTGATGACCAAATGATTAAGAGGAGTAGGGTGCCCCCCCCCCGGTTATTCCCGGAATCCAATTATCTTGCCAAAACCGAACCTCCATCCCTCCCATAATCTGCCATCTAGCATCCCTTAGAATAAGATCCCTCCCCTCCAATAAACTCGCCCAAGCCCAAGAGGCCTTCCTACCCTTCTTAGCCTCCAAGAAGGAAGAATTCGGGAAGTATCGTGCTTTCAAAACACAAGCCCATAAAGAGTCCTGGTCATGAATCAATCGCCAACATTGTTTGGTTAGAAGGGCAATATTAAAATCATTGAGATTGCAGAAGCCCAAACCCCCTTCCTTTTTTGGCCGACTCAAGTCATTCCATTTAACCCAATGTACTCCACGATCCCGATCCACTTCCGCCCACCAAAACCTCGCCACAGCCGCATCAATATCCTTGCAAAAACTCACGGGCAATCGAAACACACACATTGTGTACATAGGAATAGTTTGGATCACTGCTTTTATAAGAACTTCCTTTCCCACTTGAGATAGAAAACGCCGTTTCCAGCCCGCAATCTTCGTCAAGATCCGCTCCTTAATAAACTGTAAAGCCTCTTTCTTCGACCTCCCCCAAATTGATGGTTAAACCCAGATATTTTCCTGGGTCTTCCACCTTGGGCATATTTAAGATATTACAAAGCTCCGAAGATAAATGGGCAGGAGTATTCGCCCCAAAATAAACCATCGATTTCTAAAGGCTAATTTGTTGCCCAGACGTTCTGCAATAAGCATTAAGAAAGGAAGAAAGATTCCTGCAATTCTGGTTGGTAGCCACCAGAAAAATTAGAGTGTCATCAGCAAACAATAAGTGAGAAAGCATAGGCCCCAAAGTAGATAATTTAATGCCCTCCAAATACCCCTGCTGAACCGCCCTACTGATTAACAGCGAAAGAACCTCACTGATAAGAAAGAACAAGTAGGGTGATAGGGGATCCCCCTGTCGAAGTCCCCTTGTAGGTTTAAAGGTTCGCCCGTTCTATTGATTAAAATAGAAAATTCCACAGTTTTAACACACTTCATAACCATAGCAATCCACATTTGTTAGAAACCGAGATGCACCATAATTGCCTCCAAAAAGTCCCATTCAACCCGATCATAAGCCTTATTCATATCCAGCTTAATCCCCATTTCGAATTTTGTCTTTGTTCTTCTCATCTTAAGGAAATGAAAATTTTCATGAGCCAAGATAATATTCTCTTGAATTTGTCTTCCTTTGATGAACGCATTTTGATTCAGAGAAATAATTTGATCCAGCAAGGGCTTCAACCTATTCGCCAAAATCTTAGATAGAACCTTATAAGAATAATTACAAAGGCTTATAGGCCTAAACTGATTTACCCCTTCCGGGTTTGGAACCTTTGGGATCAAAGCAATATTAGTAGAGTTGATAACAAAAGGGCAGCCATCACCCCTAAGACAGTCAATAACAATGCCATGTACCTCAGTTGCAATAATGTCCCAGTATGATTGAAAAAACAGACCTTGAAACCCATCAGGTCCAGGTGCCTTCGATCCTCCCATATTAAACACAGCATCTTTAATCTCCTCATCAGAGATGGGGCTACATAAAGTCTCATTCATTTCATTTGTTACAACCGAATCCAAGCAGTAGAGAATATCCCCCCAATCTCGATTGCCATTCGACGTAAAAAGCCTTTGAAAATGATATTCCACCGTTAGTCTGACCCTAGCCGGATCTTCCTGCCAACCACCCTCATCATTCCTGATTCGGGCTAATTTGTTTCGTCTACGCCTTTGGATTGTAGATTGGTGAAAAAAAGCAGTGTATGAGTTGCCAGCCTGCAACCACCGAATGCGAGATCTTGCCACCCAGTATGATTCCTCTTGTGCCTCAAGTCGATTAATAATTGCAGTAACCTCACTGATTTCTTCCTTATTTTCCTCCCATTGCCGTTGTAGATTCCCCAAATGAGAGTTCAACCGTTGGAGCTCAAGCTTTCTGGCTTTGAACTTGCCCGAACTCCAGCTAATCAATCCTCTTCTAGTGGCGTTAACTTCCATTGCCACGTAGCGACCCCTCCACCACCACTTCCCACATTCCAGCATCGTGTTATGGTCTCCCTGCATCCCTCCTCTTTGCACCAAAAAGCCTCAAATCTGAACATAGGTTTACACTTGGGGGCCAGTGGGTCAGTATTTAATATCAGCGGGCAATGATCGGAAGCCCTAACATTTTCATGAATAATCACCGAGTTTGGCTATCGAGTCTGCCAGCTTCCGTTAATTAAACCCCTGTCTAACCTTTCCTGCACCAAGCTGCCATTTCTGGTTCCTTTCCAAGTAAATTTTGGCTCTGAGAATCCAAGGTCCACCAATTCCATACAATTTAAGAAGAACTGTAAAAATGGAATAGTCGACCGATGCCAATGACTCCCTCCCGATTTTTCATCTTCAGATAATATCTCATTAAAGTCGCCCACACAAAGCCAAGGGGCATGTGTCGGGCTCAGCTCCTCCACAATCCACTGCCAAAACTTAATTTTCTCATTTCTATATGGAGTGCCATAAACCCATGAAGCATTAAACCACTCATCCTTAAAAAGTCGCATCTTAGTATGGATCAAGTTCCTGTTGGATGATATAACATTGACCTCCAAACTGTCATCCCACCACAAGCTCAGACCACCCGCTGATCCAACTGGAGGAACATCCCACCCATTCACAAAACCCATCCTCCTACGAACTCCCACTATTCTGTGGTTTTGCATCTTAGTCTCCATTAAAAATACCACAGAGGGTTTATATTTTCGAATAAGCTTATGTAGGGCTCGAACTACCGTGTCCGACCCAAGACCACGGCAGTTCCAAATCAGGTTTATCATGGTTGACTTGCGGCTGTATCGGGCCAGCCGTCACTGACTCCTCATCGTTTCCTCCTCATCCACAATGTCCTCCAGAGGAGGCCATAAATTCTCCTCTGACACTGGAACCTCCAGTAGATTTTCCTCATAGGCTTCATTTGTCTCACTATGTCCAGATACACATCCTGTATGCCCACCTTTCCTAGCTCGTCCCCTTGAAGCAGCTTGT